GAATATAATAGATTGTCTGGAAGGTGGTGGTAATGCACCTATAAGTTGTTTGCCAACCGTCATTAAAAAAAAGGAGAAGAAGAAGTGCAGCAGAGCCTTCACTCAGCGTTGGATGATTAACATTTACAGGTAGACCTTTTGGCTGTCTCTTGTTGAAACTTTTAAATAGTTTGATTATCTCCAGTGAACGTGCCTGAAGTTGCGCAATCCCTGTCCTTGTTGTCTCTAGGTTTTTCACACGCTTAGTTTCAGAGGATTCGGTTCTCCGACTCGCCTTCCAGTGGATTTACCAGCAAGTAACCTGCCTGGCCGCTCCACCAGCAATCATTTCCAACCTGGCTACATCAGAACTCTGTATTTCCAACCATATCGCACCATCAGAGGTAAACCATCAACCTCCCCACACGGGACCCAGACCATCTTCCCTCCACGGCCCTCTCAAATTACTCAGAAATAAGCTCAATTTCTTCAAATTTCCTATCAAAGATTTCTGGCCAATACTAATATCCTCCCAGTCCAGACACCATTCAAATAACCTCTTTACACTCCTGAAGGAACTAGAACTGTCCGTTTCTCATGTTTTGTCAATAAATCCTTTTTACAAATTTTTACTCAGTTGGTTCTCCAAGTCCTAAGATTAAATCCTAACGTGATCGATGGATCTCCTGGAACAGCAGCCTGGTTCTGCTAATTCCTTGAAAAATGAACAGGGATTGTTTTCTTAAAACCAAAATATGAGAACAATTACTCAAGCGATTTTATTTTTTTTGTCAAAAGAGACAGGATGTGGCGAGCAGAATGTAGATAAAAAAATAATGATTAAAACTTGAGAGTTTTTTTCCCTTGATCCAATAATACTTTCTTTATGAGCCGCTTTTTGCTTTGGGATTATAAAGGACTTTAGCGAAACAGAAAATCTTGGCTTTCAAGGAAATATCAACCCAATTGACAGGGATGAGCACAAAACACAATGCATGTCATGCTGTCCAGTTGATGTCAGACCCTTAAGGTGACCACCACCGTTGTTTGTGATAGTGCCTTAGACAAAAAGTTCTTCATTATAGGATATTTTTCTTATGTTTTCTGTTTGTATAAAACCCCCATGTAGATCACTTTAATCATTTTAATAACCAAATTTTCAATAAGTCCTCCTGCATGTTTTGTTTACTCATAATAAATGGCTGCATCAGTGATTCATTATTTTTTGTGAGGAGCATTAATTCAAAATGGCTTTAAGGGGACAGAGGGTCCTTAGAATACTGCTTTAACAACATCGTTATGGCAATGCTGTTAAATCCTCATAAGTATAACAGTTATTTTATTATATGCATAGAAAATTAATTTCAGTGGCTGCTATTCAGTCACAAAGACATGCACGTATAAACTATCCAATGACACCATTGGGAGAATTTATATCTGATGGTGCATGTCGTAGAAATAATAAAAGTCAGAAGTGTAATAGAGGTAATAGTGTTTATCTTAAAGAGCCCGTAGCAGGTAAGAGCCTCACTTATATCTGTCATGATCGAGGGGATTTTTCTGACCCACATGCAGGAAACCACAAGCAGGATTCAAAGGATCAATCTCTTTATTGTACTGAAAACAGAATCCAAGATGGGTTCAGACTGATCAGCTGCTTCAGCTGCTTCTGAAAACGGAGAGGAGATGTTATTGGGGGCTCGGGAAGGGAATCTGTCCAAGTGGGGAAAAGAACGTGAGGAAGCTTACTGTTTCAGAAGATGAGCCGATCCCGGAGGGGGCTTGTGGATTGCAAAGGTGGACTGGAGACCAAACGGTGGAGAGCGGGCAGGCAGATGGAGTGACAGCGGAGCCTGGAGGAAAAAGACAGCTGGATGAGCTGGAGCAGGTAAGTCAGCAACAACCTGACGGTTCTGATAAAGATCTCTGGGAGAGTTTTACTCAGGGAGTGAGGCTTGAAGTTACCAACTTAGTCGGACAATCAGGCGGTGAAGGGTAGTCCAGCTGCTCCTTATAAGAGCTGCACCAGATGAGAAACAGGTGGATCACCTGTCGGGTTGGCACGCCCTCCAATTGGAGATCTGATTGGAAACCTGTAGTCTCAGCCACACACAGATACCATGACACTGCCCCCCCCTCAAGGGCCGCCACCTGGCGGCCTCCCAGATCCAGAGGACCTAGAGGCAAGAAAATCTCTGATAAGGGACTTATCTAAGATGAATGAACGGGGAACCCAGGAACGGTTCTCTGGACCCCAACCCTCCCAGTCTACGAGGTACTGGAAACCCCTGCCCCGTCGACGAACGTCCAAGATACTTCTGACCAAGTAGGCAGGGTGACCATCGACATCCAGAGGGGGTGGAGGGGACCCGGGAGGAGGACACAAGGGGCTAGACAGAACAGGCTTGAGTAAGGAAACATGGAAGACTGGGTGGATCTTCAGGCTTGGAGGCAGATCAAGGCGCACAGAGACAGGACTAAGAACTGAACTTATCCTGTACGGACCAATGAATCGAGGAGACAGCTTCTTATTTAAGGCTTTCAGCCTGATGTCTCTGGTAGAGAGCCAAACCTCCTGACCAGGTGAGTACAGGGGTGCAGGGGAACGTCTCTTGTCAGCAATCCGGCGGTTACGCTCGGCAGTACAGTTCAGAGCCTTTGTGACAGCCCTCCAGGTTTCTTTGCACCGACGGACATATTGTTGAACTGAGTTCACAGACAGATCCCTCTCCTCCAGGGGGAATAGAGAGGGCTGATAACCCAGAGATGCCTCAAATGGAGAGTAACCAGAGGCAGCCGAGACGTGGCAGTTATGAGCATATTCCACCCACACCAGTCTTGAGCTCCACGTCGAGGGACGGGAAGAACAAAGACATCGCAAGGTGGCCTCAAGCTCTTGGTTCATGCGCTCAGTCTGGCCATTGGTTTGAGGGTGGAAACCTGAACTAAGTGCTGCTTTGGCACCAAGTGCCGAACAAAACTCCTTCCATACCCTAGAGGTAAACTGAGGCCCACGGTCTGAAAGGATCTCAAGGGGAATCCCATGAAGACGAAACACATGTTTCACTAGAAGATTAGCAGTCTCTAAAGAGGAGGGGAGTTTCTTTAGCGGAACCAAATGACAGGCCTTCGAGAATCGATCCACTATTGTGAGAATGGTGTTAAAGCCCTTGGAACAGGGTAAACCAGTCACAAAGTCTAAAGCTATACTAGACCATGGACGCTTGGGAACCGACAAGGGTTGCAGATAACCACTGGGAGGCTGGTTATGAGACTTGTTCCTGGCACAAACAACACAGGCGAGGACATATTCCCTGACGTCTTTGTACAAGGAGGGCCACCAAAAGTGACGTCTGATCAGGGCTACGGTCCTGCCTACCCCTGGGTGGCAGGAGAAGCGAGCTGTATGAGCCCAATGTATAAGACGAGAGCGAACAGCACTGGGCACAAAGAGGCGATTGGGGGGGCCATTCCCAGGACCAGGGTCAGATTTTTGAGCCTCAAGTACCTTGTCTCGTATGTCCCAGGTTAGGGAACCTATGATGCAGGAAGGAGGAACAATAGTGTCAACAGGGGTCTCGTCATTTGAGGAGAACTGTCTAGAAAGTGCATCTGGTTTGGTATTTTTAGAACCAGGTCGATAAGTTATTAGGAAGTTGAATCTAGTGAAGAACAAGGACCATCGAGACTGTCTAGGGTTTAACCGTTTAGCTTCCTGAAGGTATAAAAGGTTTTTGTGGTCCGTCCATACCACAATAGGGTGAGAAGCCCCTTCTAGCCAGTGGCGCCACTCCTCAAAAGCCAACTTAATGGCCAATAGCTCTCTGTCACCCACATCATAGTTTCTCTCAGCTGAGGTGAGGGCACGAGAGAAAAAGGCACACGGATGGAGTTTATTGTCCTCAGAATTTTGAGAGAGGACTGCCCCAACTCCCACATCTGAAGCATCAACCTCCAGGACAAACTGTCTAGTAGGATCTGGTTGAGTCAGAACAGGAGCGGACGAAAATTTCTGTTTCAACTCAGAAAAGGCCTGCTCAGCCTCAGACGTCCACGAAAATTGTCTCTTAGTGGAGGTGAGTTTGGTCAGAGGTGCAACGGTCTGGCTGTAGTTTCTAATGAAACGTCTGTAAAAGTTGGCAAAGCCTAGAAAGCGCTGCAGCTGTTTTCTTGTTGTGGGAGTTGGCCACTCCAAAACCGCCCTGACCTTTTCGGGGTCTGACTTCACCTGCCCGCTCTCAAGGATGAATCCGAGAAATGTTATTGAGGAAACATGGAATTCACATTTCTCAGCTTTCACAAAGAGTTGATTCTCCATAAGTCGTTGGAGGACTCGTCTTACATGTACTCTGTGTTCCTCTAGTGTGCGAGAAAAAATCAGGATATCATCCAGGTAGACAAAAACAAAGTCATTCAGGAAATCACGCAGGACGTCATTGATTAATGATTGAAAGACCGCAGGAGCATTGGTGAGCCCGAAAGGCATGACTAGGTACTCAAAGTGTCCTAGGGGGGTTTTAAAAGCAGTTTTCCACTCATCCCCCTCCCTAATTCTGACCAAGTGGTAGGCAGTTCTTAGATCCAGTTTACTGAAAATTGTGGAATCTCTAACAGGTTCAAAGGCAGAAGTTAAGAGCGGAAGAGGGTACTTGTTCTTTATAGTAATCTGATTCAGACCCCTGTAATCAATACAGGGTCTGAGTGAACCGTCCTTCTTTGCTACAAAAAAGAAACCCGCACCTAATGGGGACGAGGAAGGGCGGATTATGCCTGAGGCCAATGACTCATTCACATAGTTCTCCATACTCTCTCTCTCACGGTTTGATAGATTATAGAGCCGGCTGGATGGCAGTGTAGCCCCAGGAAACAGATCTATAGCACAGTCATATGGTCTGTGTGGTGGTAAGGACGAGGCTCTGGACTTACTGAAAACCTCCTTTAAGTCATGATATTCGGGGGGTACATTGGATATGTCAGGTGCTTTTACCTCTTTCCTGGCACTGGATGAGGTTGGTGGAACAGCTGACTGCAAGCAAGTGGATAAACAATATGGACTCCATGACTCCACTCGACCATTGCTCCAATCCAGGTGGGGGTTGTGGAGAGAAAGCCACGGGTAACCCAGAACTAGGGGAGACTGAGGAGAAGAAAAAACATACAAACTAAGTTTCTCTCTATGGTTGCCAGACACAACGACTTCAATAGGTTCGGTCTGGTGTGAAATCACAGGTAGGGCCTTACCATTCAGGGCAGATACACAGAGAGGAGCAACCAGGGGAATGGTAGGAATCTTTAGCTGTTGTACCAACTCACTGTCAATCAGATTCTGCTCACACCCAGAATCAATCAGAGCATGGAGCTGAACTGACTCCTGCTCAATGATAAGGGAAGCTGGTAAGGCTAAACGGGAAACAGAGTTACTGAGACTACCCACCAGTATTCCCGTAGCTACTGGTGGGCTCTCTCTTTTGGCCGAAGGGGACAAACTGAAATGTAATGTCCAGCCCGGCCACAGTACAGGCATGCCCGGGCTTCAAAGCGACGCTGGCGCTCCTCTGGTGAGAGCCTGGCACGTCCCACCTGCATGGGTTCCTCCATGGGTAGATCTGGCTGGGGGCTAGCCCTTTGGGGCCCCTAGGTGGAGTTGCAACAGGGGAAGCCGGCCTACGCCTTCGTTCTCTTGTCCTTTCACGTAACCGGTTGTCAATCCTTATAGCTAATGTAATTAGCTCTTCGAGGTCTGGGGGATCATCCCGATAGGCTAACTCATCCTTAACATGCTCATTTAGTGAGTTAATGAATGCCCCCTTGAGAGCCTGGGGATTCCAACCTGAAGTGGCTGCAATAGTTCGGAAATCAATAGCAAAATCTGCAACGGATCTCTGGCCCTGTTTCTGGGTCCAGAGTCTCCTAGTTACCTCTGTTTGGGTTTCAGCATGTCCAAAAGTCTGTTTGAATTCAGAAACAAAATCATCGAAGGATTGGTTAAACAGAGAATTAGAGTTATTCTTAGCTTCCGCCCACTGAAGTGCTCTCCCCTGTAGGAGTCCCACTAAATAAGAAATCTTAGATGCATCATTGGAGAAAGACTGGGGTGACCTACAAAAAACAAGGGAACATTGCAACAAAAAGCCTCCACACTTTCCAACCTCCCCAGAATAATGTTCAGGAACTGGCGAGGTGACATCCCGGAATTGACCACCTGGGGGCGGTAACGGGAGAGATGCGGCCGCTGCGCCAGCCGGAGAATGGGGCGTAATGGAGAGTTTGTTTGTCAGTTCCTGGATCGACGCGGTCAGCTGATCCATGCGTTGAGCAGCAAACCCCTGCTGTTCAAACAACGAGCGCAACATCTCCTGGTGTTGTGTTAGCACGCTCTTATGCTCGGGGGAGGAGCCCGCTCGTGGTTCTGCTGGGTCAAACTGGCCTGATTGTTCTGTCATGATCGAGGGGATTTTTCTGACCCACATGCAGGAAACCACAAGCAGGATTCAAAGGATCAATCTCTTTATTGTACTGAAAACAGAATCCAAGATGGGTTCAGACTGATCAGCTGCTTCAGCTGCTTCTGAAAACGGAGAGGAGATGTTATTGGGGGCTCAGGAAGGGAATCTGTCCAAGTGGGGAAAAGAACGTGAGGAAGCTTACTGTTTCAGAAGATGAGCCGATCCCGGAGGGGGCTTGTGGATTGCAAAGGTGGGCTGGAGACCAAACGGTGGAGAGCGGGCAGGCAGATGGAGTGACAGCGGAGCCTGGAGGAAAAAGACAGCTGGATGAGCTGGAGCACAGGTAAGTCAGCAACAACCTGACGGTTCTGATAAAGATCTCTGGGAGAGTTTTACTCAGGGAGTGAGGCTTGAAGTTACCAACTTAGTCGGACAATCAGGCGGTGAAGGGTAGTCCAGCTGCTCCTTATAAGAGCTGCACCAGATGAGAAACAGGTGGATCACCTGTCGGGTTGGCACGCCCTCCAATTGGAGATCTGATTGGAAACCTGTAGTCTCAGCCACACACAGACACCATGACAATATCAGTGTTAAAATATGTTAGGAATTGATTCTCTATATGAACTATTAAAGCTTTTTAGGTTGTTTTGTGAACATTTTACCTGTATCAAAAAGCTGGCATCAGAAATGACCTAACGTAGATGAGTCCCCTTAGTTTTACAGAAGTAAGCAATGGATGCCAATGCCAATTCAGACAAAAAGATACTTTAAATGTGTACAAGTGCACAAATGACTTAACCTGACTCTGCCAGATGGATTTGCTCTGCATATCCATCTGGAAACCTTCCATTGAAGTAATTTTGTGAAGGGGCGAAAATACTAGTTAGCTGATTGGCCTATGTTGGTGATAGACGGGCCAAATAAACCAATCAGATCAACGAAGCATATGACGTACGAACAGAGCGACCACGAAAACACAACCACAGGCCAGGCTACTCTTGCCGAAACCAGTCGGGAAAAGAGCAAAAACATCTTTTCCTCTGAGAAAAGCCTCCAGAGCAGTGTTTTGCTCTTCTTTCAGTGAAGAAATACTCTGTAATTCCGATAAAACTTGCTCGATAGCCACGCTAACGCTAGTTTCATCGGCTGAAGCCGCCATGTTCTTTAGACTGAACTGTCGCGCTTCTCGTTGCGTCACACCTCAACCCGCCTCAAAGCCAACGCTGATTGGACGTTCGTTTGGTGAACGCCTCCAAATTTTCTTTAATGGAGAGTAGCCAGACTGATCTGCGAGTGAAACCTTGAAAGCTTGCGAAATCAGGATGGTCTCACGAGGCTACAAATGATTGACCATAACTTGATAATTATTAGCCTGTTGTATGCCGAAGAGTAAAGAGAGAGACCGGGGTAAAAATTCATTCATTGCTGTATTGAAAGAATAAGATCACTTATGTCATAGTGTCACAGCATGTCCTCAGACAGTTTTATTGCGATGGTTTAGTTTAGCAGCATCCTGCTATTTTCATGAACCATGGGCATCATTCTGAGAGATTTTCAGGGGTGATCTGTTTTTAGAACTTAAAAACAAATCATAGCTCAAAATCTTGGTTAGTTAGGAGTGAGAAACACCATTTGCTGGTGGGGCAAAGTCCGATACTTTTATTGTGTGTGTGCTGCATGCACTGCAGTTTGCCTACTGTCCTGGCTTTGGGGCAGACGATGCCATCATCTTCCTCCTGCACCAAGCTCTGAATCACCTGGAAGCACTGTGAGGATCATGTTCTTTGATTTCTCAAGTGCTTTCAACCCCATCTAGCCAGGATTCCTAAGGGACAAGCTGGAGCTGTCAGGAGTGGACCAGCACATGTCCAAGTGGATTCTGGACAACCTCACTGGCCGCCCGAAGTATCAGAGTGCACAGGGCTGTGTCCCTGATAGGTTGGTTTGCAGTACAGGGTTCCTACAGGGAACAGTGCTGGCACCGTTCCTCTTCACCCTTTACACTGCAGACTTCTTCATCAGATTTAGACTTTATAATTTTGTACACACAGAGTGTATACAAAAAGAAATTCTGTTCAGTACAGCTGTCAAGACATTTTTATTTTTTCAAAGTGACGCCATGATAAAGGTAAGCAGGAGTGATAATGCAAACATACAACCGTATATTAGTCACAGTTACAACATTCAGGGCTTTGTTTTTTAGTTCTTTATCAACTGCCCATGCTGCCACCTCCAGAAGTTCTCTGGAGATTTTGCCATAGTTGGCCTCATCACAGATGGGGACGACTCAGAGTACAGACAGTGGATCCAGAACTTTATGGTCTGATGCCAGCAGAACCACTGTCTGATTAATGCAGGGAAATCCAAGGAACCAGTGGTGGACTTTCGAAGAAGCAGATCCACTCCAATGACACAGGTGAACATCCAGGGAACGGACATTGAGATAGTGGACTATTATAAGTACTGGTGTTCATCTGAATAACTAACTGGACTGGACTCACAACACTGAGGCTCTGTATAAGAAAGGTCGAGCAGACTCTTCCTGCTGAAGAGACTGAGGTCTTTTGTAGTGCAGGGAGCTCTCCTAAAATCTGTAGCTGAGAGAAAGCAGCTGAATAAGCTGATCAGGAAGGCCAGCTCTGTGATTGGATGCCCTCTGGAAGCAATGCTGTAGATGGGGAAACAAAAGGACCCTAAATTAAAATCTCTGTTGGATAATGTCTCCCACCTCATGCATGAAGCTGTTCCAGAACTGGAGAGCTCCTTGAGTGACAGACTGAAGCACGTTATCATAAACCCTTCCTCCTAACAGCTCTAAGACTCTATAACCACCACTGTTTCCAACAACCACAATAAGTTGTTCATGCTGATTTTGCACAGTTTCTATCTTAGTCAGGTAAATAACATGCTGTTGTCATTTTGCACATCTCTGATGTTGCAGCTATTTTCAAATATCCATTACTGTAAAAATGTCCATAGCTGTATATTGGTTATGTATTCTCCAGGTGCACAGTTTTTATATTGTTAAAACACTGTACAGTACAGTATTTTATTGTTTATCTTTTAACTCTTTACTATTGTGTTATTCTTATACATTTTTATAAGGTCTACAGTTGTGTGACCATTTTTTCTATAATCTTTTTGCTGCTGTAAACACCAGAATTTTCCCATTGTAGGACAATAAAGGGACTCTTTTCTACTTATTCAAATACTTTTAGTGTGTGTGTGTGCTGCGCCACCAGAGAAAATATATCTGGTTTTCTTCCCTTTCTATAAAGTTTCTCCAGCATTCTCAACTAGCAAGAGGATCTCCTGTTTACTGATTTATCGTCTCTTGCTAGGTTTGCATTGGGATGGGCACTTTCCTGTTTGGAAAGGTGTGGATCCAATGTCCTAACTGGTTGGAGCTTGTGCAGCCCTCATAAATGCAACATAGACCATGTTTTTGACCAATAAATTCAGTATCAAACTTCTCCCAAACTCAACTACACATCCGCTCTACCCAGTAACTACCTACTCTCCACACAGAGCTGAAGCAAAGGTGATTATTTGACTCATCCACGTAATATCAAATGATGCAACTTACTAAATAACTCAGTTTTTAGAGATGCTGCTAAAATATATCACTTGTGTTGGTAAACTTTCCTTCTTATGGCCACCAAAACACCTTAATTCCTAAATTAATGTTTCAAATATCCTCAAATAGGCAGCCCTTGGTTTTCATTTTGTCAAAAATCTAACATGCAATTTGCTCTTTAAAGCCTTTTTGTCACATTGAAGTTTTCATAACTCATTCAAAACTTTTTTAAAAGACATGTTCACCACACTGAGCTCACAAATACCCTATGGGGGGTTTGGGTTTGTTAGGTCTCTAAGCTACTCCTTCAGATGCTCTTGATTCTGTTCTCTTGCTCCTTCTTCTCACAAAAGAAATGTCCATATGAAAAACTGATCAGGTGAGCTGGGGGCACATGCTTTACTGTCGCTACTTCATTCCTTTGTGGTTCCTTTGGTCACTTTCTTGCTTTTTTCTTCCTCTTTTTATTGACAAAGTTCTGACTTCTGATGTGAAAACAAATTCAATTATGCTCAGCTCCAAACCGAAGCACAATTAAAAAAAACAATCATGTACACCAAACTGTCCAACAGGTTATATAAAACTGTACACTCACCGGCCACTTTATTAGGTACACCTTTCCAAATGCTCGTTAGCACTTAATTTTTAAGCAGCCAATCACATGGCGGCAACTCAGTGCATTTAGGCTTGTAAACATTGGTCAAGACAATCTCCTGCAGTTCAAACCAAGCATCAGTCTGGGGAAGAAAGGTGATCTGAGTGACTTTGAACGTGGCATGATTGTTGGTGCCAGAAGGGCTGGTCTGAGTATTTCAGAAACTGCTTTTCTACTGGGATTTTCACGCACAACCATCTCTAGGGTTTACAGAGAATGGTCCGAAAAAGAAAAAAACATCCAGTGAGCGGCAGTTCTGTGGGCGGAAATGCCTTGTTGATGCCAGAGGTCAGAGGAGAATGGCCAGACTGCTTCGAGCTGATAGAAGGGCAACAGTGACTCAAATAACCACCCGTTACAACCAAGGTGGGCAGAAGAGCATCTCTGAACGCACAGTACGTCGAACTTTAAAGGCAGATGGGCTACAGCAGCAGAAGACCACACCGGGTGCCACTCCTTTGAGCTAAGAACAGGAAACAGAGGCTACAATTTGCACAAGCTCATCGAAATTGGACAATAGAAGATTGGAAAAACGTTGCCTGGTCTGATGAGTTCTCAATTTCTGCTGCGAGATTCGGATGGAAGGGTCAGAATTTGGCGTCTACAACATGAAAGCATGGATCCATCCTGCCTTGTATCAACGGTTCAGGCTGGTGGTGGTGGTGTCATGGTGTGGGGAATATTTTCTTGGCACTCTTTGGGCCCCTTGGTACCAATTGAGCATCGTTGCAACGCCACAGCCTACCTGAGTATTGTTGCTGACCATGTCCATCCCTTTATGACCACAATGTACCCAACTTCTGATGGCTACTTTCAGCAGGATAATGCGCCATGTCATAAAGCTGGAATCATCTCAGACTGGTTTCTTGAACATGACAATGAGTTCGCTGTACTCAAATGGCCTCCACAGTCACCAGATCTCAATCCAATAGAGCATCTTTGGGATGTGGTGGAACGGGAGATTCGCATCATGGATGTGCAGCTGACAAATCTGCGGCAACTGTGGGATGCCATCATGTCAATATGGACCAAACTCCCTGTGGAATGCTTCCAGCACCTTGTTGAATCAATGCCACGAAGAATAGAGGCAGTTCTGTAGGCAAAAGGGGGTCCAACCCGTTACTAGCATGGGGTACCTAATAAAGTGGCCGGTGAGTGTATATCAGGCTTAACTCATCACTTTGGCAAGGAAGGTCTTTATCCTATGAAGCAGCATAAGCAGTGACTGTCAGTAATGTATAGCAGAACATACAAGTATCAAATGTAGATTATCTGATCTTACCATCTGTAGGAGGCTGCAACAGCTCGGTGTTATTCTGGTCAGTGTTTTGCTTGGT